CCTAGTAACCACAAATTAGAAAAAAATGAGAAATGTATCTTTCTGAGTCTGATGGAATTTGGTTAATAAGTATGCCCAGTTGCATCCATTTCAGGGATGGTCCTGGGAATAGAAGGAACATCTCTTTTATCATTTTGACAAGTCATCCTAACTTTCAATGTGTTCTTCATTTGCTTTCCCTAATGAACAACAATCCTAAGCACCTGTCATAAATTGGAATGTTTTCTATTTTAATTTTGGATAGATGATTACTGTCAAGAAGAAATGCCACTGATCAAAAGTCTCCTATGGAAGGAGAGTCTGGAACCAGATGGCTTCACAGCTGAATTCATTCAAACATTCACAGAAAAACATATCAATTCTCCTTAACCTTTATAAAATTTAGAATAGGTTTTACTTCTCAACTCATCTGTGATGATACCACCATCATGAGCACCACAATAGAAGAAAACTATGAACTAATTTCTTTAATAAACATTGATTAAAAACAATTGTCAATAGAATACTATGTATACCATGACAACATATTCATAGAGGTGTAATAGTCACACTTAATCCTGGAGGGAAACAACAGTCACCTAACTGGATTTTTAAGGCCTGCTCAGCAAGGAGGAATTCAAACCAGTTTAGCCAACAACCTGTGGCTGGTAAGATCAAGGATTGCTATTGTCAGTTTCCTAAACCAACATAATTTTCCCTGTCTTCTAAATATTTATCCTTATATACATAGGTAATGTAGCTCTCACCCCTAAATAAAGAAGCCTCTTTTGGGGGCAGACAGAGACCATTACAGAAAGCTACAACTGGTTAAAATGAGACAGTAGGGTGCCCAGACACAATTAATACATTTACAACACAATTTCTACACATAAGACTCAAGGAACGTCACAGAAGAGGGACATAAAGATTGTAAGAGCCAAAGGGCCAAGATTCTGCTATGAGATATGTAGTCTCTTGCTTGGGGTCAAGGAAGTGAAGTGGGAGTTGTGGGAAGGAGTAGAGTATGAATATGATCAAAACATGTTTTATGAAATCTCTAAGAATAACATATGTGTATATAAGAGTGCATCTAAGGAATTATACATGATGACCAAGTATAATTGATCTCTGTTACACAAGATTTGTTTAATGTTTAAAAATTAATGGGTGGCATGCCATCCATTAACAGAGTAAAAGTTTTAAGCCACAGGATCTACCAACATGCTCAGGAAGCATTCTTATGTAATGATTAGTCTATATCCTGTATTATGAGAATGGCAGTAGCGGTGGCCCAGTCACCTCAGCTGAACTACTAGCATCTACAACAGCCCTCTTTCGAAACCACACTCTGAAGTACTAAGCATTATGACTTCAACACTCAGAGGATTGTGGGGAAATGGGGGCAGGAGACAGTGCATTGTTACAGTTCAACTCATACATAACAAATGGATAAATAATTGCCCCAAAACAAGCTGGTTGGAGTGACAATGCTCAAAAGTAGACAGAATAACAAAATTGTAAGCAAATAAATTGTTGAAAAGTAAACCCACTGAATAGTAGAGACAGGGGAGATGAGAATGAGAAGAAATAAGAGCCATTATAAAGGGATTTTATCAGTACTGTCAGTGGACACAAGGGGCTCATTCTGCTTGAACTTCCAGAAAGGTATATAGAAAGTTTTCAAAACCATACCCTAGATGGCTGAAGACCAGAGTATGATAGATACATTAGTCCCTACCCAGGGATGGTGATTTCCTAACCCTGAAATGCCTTTTTCAGATGGAACCAGCTGAGCCCTGAGTTCATACACTCCTTGGGACATCCAGAGCACCAAAGGCACTCTCAGGCAAAAGCTAAGCCTTGCGGTAAGACTCCATCAGCTTGAAGTGAAATCTCCATCGCTGCTCTAGCGCCACCTCCATCTCCAGGTTTCTCGGCTTCCTTCAGAATCTTCTGGCCCACACTCATACCATCGTTCATGTGAAAGCATGCCTTCATTCATGTCTAAGATACTATGAAATGTCTAGGAATTTCTCACAAAAGAACAAATACTATGTGATTACACTAGTATGAAATATCTAGTGTTATCAAACTCATGAAGATAAGAGGTAGCATGGTAATTGGTGAGACCTGAGGGAAAGGGGACAATGGAGAGGTCTTTGTTAACAGGAATAAAGTGTTTATTTAGGATGGTGTTGAGGAATATTATTTTAAGATGTGTTACATTCGTATGCAAAGATGTGTTGCATTCTTTTATGTTGCATTTGTTTAACTCTGTAAAACCATGTTACTTTGCCTGTCTAAAACACCTGATTGGTCTAATAAAAAGCTGAATGGCCAATAGGTAGGGAGAAGAAATAAGCCAGGTTGGTGGGCAGAAAAAGTAAATAGGAGAAATCTAAGGAAGAGAATGAGGATCAAGAAAAGGAGAAGAAGATGAGGATGCCAGGGGCCACCTACCCAGCCACACAGCCAGTAAGAAGGAAAGAAAAATACATAGGATAAAGAAAGGTAAAAAGCCTAGAGGTAAAATGTAGTTAAAGAAAAATGGAATAATTCATGTTAGAAAAGCTAGCTAGAAACAAGCCAAACTAAGGCTGGGCTCATAAATAAGAAAAAGTCTCCATGTATTTATTTGGGAGATGGGTGGCAGAACCCCAAAGAGTTTTTAAAAAACTACAGGAGGGAGCAAAAACTCTGGAGATGGTGATGGGTGGTCAACAGCATGAATTACCTTGTGCCACTAAAGTATGCCTTAAAATAGTTAAAGTGATAAACTTTGTTATTTATGTTTGACTGCAATTAAAAAGAAATTAATGTTTTAAACTCTTGAGTTCATTTGACTTTACCAAATTTTTTCTCAATATATGTTTTTATTTAAATTAGAAATATGCATGCTTCACATGTCAATCCCAGCTCCCTCTCCCACCCCTCCTTCCTTGTCCCTCCACCAGCCCCCACCTAATCCCCACATCATTCCCCAAGGAGGGTGAGGCCCTCCTCAGGGGATCTCCAGAGTCTGTCATTTCATCCACAGCAGGACCTAGGCCCTTCCCCATGAGTCCAGGCTGAGAGAGTATCCTTCCATGTGGAATGGGCTCCCAAAGTTTATTCATACGCCATGGACTTTAACAAAATTTTTATGGGGGCTGGAAAGACAGTTCAGTAGTTAGGTACACTTAATGTTCTTTGGGAAGACCTGAGTTTGGCACTCAGTGTCCACATGTAACTCTAGCTCCATTAGACCTGGTACCTCCGGACTCTACAGGCACCTGCACTCCACACACACAAATATATGTAATCGACCTTTTAAATGTGTCAAATTAAGTCTTCTCCCTACTCTCGCTCTTTCTTCCCTTTTATAACCCTCTCATCTTTTTTTTTCTCATCATTCTGGGCACAGTAAATTCTGCATCTTCCACTACAGACATAAATATTTTCTAAGTAAAACTCCTTCCAGGTATGAATAATTCTGATGGTTATCATTTAGAAATAAAACTATCTCCTTAAGTTGAATTACCTTTCTGAGTTGGAAAGGGGGCCAAAAGTATCTCAGATTAAAGTACAAGTATGTAGATACATCTTTTTTCTAGAAAGAATGAGATGAGAGTTCTTCAGTTGGATATCCTTCAAGCTCTATGTGTGTTATCTTAATGCAGCTGAAACATGGTAAATGTTGCATGTTACACACTAGCATTTACCATCACTCTGCAGCAAACCCCAGCATAGAGCAATAAGGGGAAGGTTGGAGGGATAAGAGAATAGACCTCAGTATTCTGCCTTCTAAACTAGAGAGTCATTTTTGGAGATCTGAAAACAGTGAACACAAAGAACAGCCACTCCTCGAATTTAATGCTGAACTCCCAGGAGTAGCATACTGTCAGGGTTTCCTCATGTATTATGGAGACAAGTATTGGCAAGCTTCCATAAGATCCATCTAAGCTCTTATCTCCTCACTGTATCAGGTCATGTGACTAATAACTGGATCCTTCCATAGGCTCTTTACCATCCTTTTAGTGATACACTTGGTGACTGAGTTGACTTCCATAAATCTAGTCCCACATTACTGTCCCACTGGGGTTTAGACCATTGATCCCTAATCACCTAACACACTTGTGCATTCAAATTTCATAAAAGCACTTCTTACAGGTACCCTAAAAGCTTTTTTCCGTATCTATATTATAGTCTTCAAAACCCTTTCCCATTCTCAATAACTGAAAATAATTGTCATGCCTTAAAAATGCATCTGTTCTGCATTAACATACTACAGCACGCCCTTAAAGCAGCAAGAATGTACCACAGCTGTTAACAGTTGCTATCATGACTCTTGTTTGTACTGTTATCTATCCATATAGAATTATAAAATCCATTATTTGAAGACTCATTTAAAAATCTAATTAAAGATAGGGGTATATTTGGTAATATGGTTGCCTAATATACAGGAAGCCCTAGGTTCAATTCCCAGCACCATACAAATCACATATGATAGCACATACCTCTAATCCTAGCACTAAGGAGGTATAGACAAAAGAATCAGAAGTTCAAGATCATCTTTTACTTCACAGCAAACTCAAGGCCAAGCTAAGAAACATGAGACTTGGTCTCAAAATCAAAGCTAAATTATTAATGCAAGGGATTGAAACTGCTTATGCAGATAATAAATCTGTTTTTGAGACATGTATTTTCTCAAATATGCAACTGCCTTCAACATTTGGAATTGTGAAACATTTTAAAATACAGCAATTGTTGGGAAGAGGTGGCAAAATGAATTTAAGAGCTGAAAGATGAGGAAGGGTGTAGTGAAATGCTATGTTCTGACCGTGACAAGCTATAGCACTCATGAACTCATAGCAGCTGTGGTTGCCTGCACAAGACCTGAGGAGCTTGGGCCTGTCAGTATTCTGCCAAGCATGTGGAGGGGCTCATTAAGGGTTACCCTTTTGTAGGCTCCAAAGGACGCTGTAACGATAAGCGACAGTTACTGGAAGTAAAACTAAGTATTTATTGTAGAAATTACTCACAAGATACCAAACAAGTAACCCAGATGAGACAAGCAGTTTTCCGCTGCCGAACCAGAAGCCGAACTCCGGGAAAAAAGAGCGAGACTTCCTGTGTGCTGGCTTTTATACCTTCCCCCGTAACACCCCCTAGCCATGCCCAAAAGTGGGCCTGGCTAGTGACGTAGTTCCGCCTACGTACGTATACGTCTTTACGTCCAGCCGTATACGTCTTTAGTCCTGCCTGAAGTGGGTGTGGTTAGCGGTGTGGTAAACCGCCCTTTTATTACCTCATCTGTATGCGCCTCTAATAAGTCACATGTTTAATGGCGGCATACAGACTTCCTCCTACACCCTTCCAGGAGGAACTACTGGTAATTAATAGTTTCAGCAACGTGGTTACTGGTAACTTGCTAATGCTCCAATAAATAATATCCTACCTAGGTTCATGCAAGTAATCCTAATTAAACTCCATGGGACACACACACACACACACACACACACACACACACCCTCAATGCAGGACTTGAAGTTTTTCAACCAGGCTAGAAGCCAGCAAGCCCCACAGCTCCAGCCTCTGCTTCCCTCTGAACTGGAGTTATGGGTGTACATAGAATGTTCTTCTTGTTACCTGGGTGCTAATAGTGGGACTCTAGCTCAAATTATTGTACAGCAAGCATGCTTGACTGTTGAATAATCTCTCCATGACCCTTGATATATAGTCATGCTAGACTTGAATGCATGCAGAGTCCAGGGATTATAGGTGTGAGCCCCTATCACCAGCTCCCACCAAGTGGTTTTTGGATTTGTTGTGTTTAGAAGCTCCATATGTCAACAACAACAACAAAAAGATGGTTTATTATGACGCATGTAATGGTTTAATGAACTTAAAGCTGACACTGCCCTTGCATTATTTTGTATTCTAATTGTTGTTGTTTCTGTTTTGGTGTTTTTCTGGGTATGTTGAGTTCATTCAAATTTTGTTTTTCAACATATAGATCATATATTAACACATTCTCTAGATATTAGCTCAACAGTGAGAAAGCCATAAACCCATACGTTCTCTGTAACAATACCCACTTCACTGTGAAACTATGTATCGTAGTGTTTGATTACAATTCCAAAAAGAAAGGGATACTGTAGAAATAATGGTTTTGGATCTTAAAGTTAAATGAAATCATGAGGAAAAATGGTTTAGTAGTAAGGACTTTGAACATAATGGGAAAGGTGATATTCTACATGTCCTTTTCTTTCCAAATGCTAGAAGCTGTTCTCTCAGTCATGGTATTATGAACTTAATAATGGTGTGTGATAGTTTGATCACTCCTTGGTTTCAAGAGAAGACACAGTCTTAAGGACAATATCACTACTTGAACAAAAAAAAAGTAATCAGTGAGAAACCATTTTAAAAATGGAAGTGGTTATTTGTCTCATGGTTTCAGAAGGCTTTCAGAAGGTTTTGGTCCATACATTACCTGACTTGATTACTTTGGTTCCAGTACTCCACCAAGACAGAAATGACAGAGAAGGTGTGATGAGGCAAAGCTACCCACTGACAACAGTAAGGAATTGGGGTGAACAAGATAGGTCGACCATCCAAGGGCACATTCCCAGTGACATACTCCCTTCAGTGAGGTCCCATCTCCTGATCGCTAAATCTCCCAAAGCGGCCATCAGATTATGAATCCATCAATAGATCAATCCACTGAATAGATCAGAGCTTACATCATTCATCACTTCCCAAAATCCCCTTCTCGAAAATTTGCATAATAGGCCAAGACCTCAACACATGAGGTTTTTGTTTGTTTCTTTGTTTTGTTGTTGGTGATGTTGTTTTCAGCTTTTTAAGTAAGTGGTTTTATTTTCTTATAGCAAGCTATGCAGTAACAGTAGGACCTATAAATAATTCCTATGTAAGGATAGTTAAAGTTTAAAAGCTACTGAAATATTATTAAAAGTGAAATCAGATGATAGTATAGGATCCTCACACATTGTTTCCAAGTCCTCCATGGGCTGGACTGAAGTCAGAAGCCTGGAGCAGCATGAGTCAGCTAAGGTCAGGAGCCCAAACAGCACTTTCATACCAAAACCATAACATGCACCATGCACCATCTATATAGTCTGTATAGGACACTGACAATCTTCAAAATTAACCAAGCAAAGTCCCAGATCCTCCTCTCCCATCTGTCACACCCAGCCTAGATTTCACCTTGGATTTCTCAACTATGAGCATCCCAGGAAGGGTAGCAGAATACAGGATTTCCTTTCAATGTACTAGGAGATACTCGGGACAAAACATGTCCACATTCTATGGTAGTTAGGCAAATAGTGTAAGACGGGAGAATCAGTCAGCTCTTCCTAGAAATATGGGAGACTCAGAGGCAGCCATCTCAAAGCCCACGCCTTTAATCCCAGCACTCAGGAGACAGAGGCAGACAGATCTCTGTGAGTTTGAGGCCAGCCTGGTCTACAGAGTGAATTCCAGGACAGGCTCCAAAGCTACAGAGAAACCCTGTCTCAAAATACCAAAAAAAAGAAAGAAAAAAAAAAGACTTGGGAGTTTTAAGGAGTCCTTGTCTGGTGTTTACTAAATGTTATCTGAATTAGAATTTCTCTTATGTTTTTATCATGATTAGATTCTGGCTCTGGATTTTGAAGGAAAGGTCGCACTCGATTGTATCAAGGATATTTACTACTGATATAGTATAGGGCTTGTGGTTAATGTGTTATTTGCTGGGTTTCTGCATTCTAACGTTATTCTTTCTCCCCTTTTCAGGCTGCATCAACTGTAAATTATTCTAGCCAGGAGTTAAAGCTCACTTCTTTATCAATACAGTATACACATGTGTGTGTGAGAGAGAGAGAGAGAGAGAGAGAGAGAGAGCTTCCCTTTATGAATCTGCCTCCATTTACTTATTGTCTGATCACTGTATCTGCACAGTATTTATTTTACACTTTGGATTACACATTCAGGGCTTATTTGGTTGTCCACATTATTTCACTAGCTGTTGACAGATCTCGCCCCAGGTATTTTTGATATGATAGTAAAAAACAAAAGAACACTTCAGGCTTCCCTCTGGGTGTCTAAACTTTATATAAATCATGAAAGCTGTTGGAACATATTTTTCCCCGTGTTAAGAATTAAACACAGGCCTCAGGCATGCTAGGCAAGTGTTGTAACAACTGAATAAGACCTGCAGGCCTGGAAATCAGTTTTCCAGAGTAGAGAAATGATGAAACCTAGTTGTCAGAGAAAAGAGTATGTAAAACAGTGGGGTGAAACATATATAAAAAAAGTAGACAAATACTCAGAATTTAACGGTCTCAATTTTTTTGGTTATACCTATATCCTGAGGCCCTGTTTCTCATCCTGAATTTTGACATACCATCCCAACTTCCACAAACAAACTTCTTCTTTCTTCTTGAATTACATCTATTGCTTCAACCTAAAGAGTTTATCGGGGCTGGAAATATGCCTCAGCTAATATGAGTTCTTGTTGTACAAGCATGAAGAACACCTGACTGACTTTAGATCTAAGAACCCTCATATCTGGCTGGATGGTGGTGGTGCACGCCATTAATCCAAGCACTTGGGAGGCAGAGGCAGGTGAATCTCTGTGAGTTCGAGACCAGCCTGGTCTACAAGAGCTAGTTCCAGGACAGCATCCAACGCCACAGAGAAACCCTTTCTCAAGCCCCCCACAAAAAAGAACCCTCATATCTGAATAACAGACATAAAACATTAAGAATTTTCTTTTAAATGCATAGAAAACATTTCCTTTTTGTTTTGTTTTGTTGAAACAAGGTTCCTTTGTGTAGCCCTAACTGTCCTAGAACAAGTGACAACTGATCCTTTCTAATCTTTCTTTAATGGCATCTTCAACATTTTCCACACAGTGAATATAACATAAAAGCCACAAGTCTAACTGCTTTGTGTCTTCATTTCTATGGTGGCTGACATGTGCCTGTTTAATAAGCCTCTTCGCGGATGTATTCATTGTCATCGTGGTTGGTAGAGGATCAATTAGTGAGCCTGGGAAAGCAGACACTGAAGATATTTCCACCTTTGACACTGGCATCAGCCACAGCCCACACGAACCAGATTTTGATTCATGTGGTCAATCCTAACCAAAGTCGTTTTCCATGAGGAAGATATAGGGGCAGGTAGGGACAAATCCCCTCTAATTATATGTAGTTTCTGGCTGAATAAAACATTCATTCTCCATCTGGAGAATGTTGGGTTTGTTTGTGCGCAGGATTATTGTTAGTAGTAGTAGTAGTAGTAGTAGTAGTAGTAGTATCATTATTATTATTATTACTATTTTATTACAAAGTTCTTTGCCAGTTTGTTCTACAGCACTGACATCAGTGGTGAAAGAATGACTGTATTTGTCTAAAACAGGGACAATATTATTTAAACATACAAAATTGTGGGACTGGAGAGATGGCTCAGTGGTTAAGAGCACTGACTGCTCTTCAGGAACATCCTAGTTCAATTCCCAGCACCCACAGGGCAGCTCACAACTGTTTGTAACTCCAGTTCCAAGGGATCCAACACCCTCACACAGACATACATACAGGCCAAAAACCAATACATAGAAAATAAAAATAAACCTAAAAAAAAGAGTACAAAATTATTCAAGATGTTATAAAATATCATAGGACAATAGAGGAAAAGTTATTTCTCAGAAGAGATTTTGACAGGATCTTATTTTCTATATCCAAATTGACTGAATTATAAATCACCTGTGTCAACATTACAACATAGTTTCAAACTGTATCTTAAAACTTCAGAAAATGAAGCTTTTTCATTCTGATGTAGATATCTTCCTCTTTACTGCCCTCTAATTAAGTTTCTCAAATAATTTGCCAAGTATGAGTCGAATACATCTGCTTCAGAACTAATGAGGTAGCTAAATATTTGCTTCTGTACTCAGTCTAAGTTACAAAGCTGGCTCCTCCTGCCATGAATTCTCAAGATGCTGTGCATACCTTCTGCTTATATAAAAGATACTTGTATTGCCCGAGGAGTTAAAAGCATTTTAAATATGTATGTAGAGGTTTTTGAAGCA